CCCCTTCTCAAATTCACCCTTGAAGCCACAAGCAGGGAAAATAAACCCATCAATCAGCCTCACCTTTCCTCACATTCATAGCTGGAAGAGCAATGCAGGAAAGATCAGGCCACCCATGCACAGCTACACGTGCCTATGTCCCAGGGCAGCAATCGCCAGGCAGGGAAACCTCCTGGGTCCTGGGCTGCTTCTGACAAATAGCTGCTGAAATTGTTGTCTATTTGAGTATTCGTCTTTCATTCGTAATTTCATTTGAAAATCATTTTTGCAGGGCTTGCTGGACTTCAACCAAAATTGCTTTCAGAAATATGGGAAATCTGAGGGCGAATTTTTCCCAGGAACTCTTTATCAGTGCCGCCTCTAAAGCACAGCACAGCCATCTCGATCGGAGGGTGCAGGAAGGATCCATCCGAAGCAGCAATCCTAAAAGCACATCACATACTCGTTAACCTGGCCTGCCAGGTGAGAGCACTGGCTAGTTCGTATCTGACTGCTTCTGCTGGAAACCAGTAATAAAAAAATGCTTGTTTTTTTTGAGATAAGTGGGAACTGAAAGCGTTTTTAACCCAGGCAGTTTCTCAGTTAAAGTTTTGTGGAAGAGGACAGGCACAGACATCCCTGAGCTGAGACACAGGGGAGGAAAGCAAGGCAGGGAGCAGCAGCGGAGCTGGCTGGGAAGGATCTGCAGCTTCAATCGCGCTGCAGGCAATAGGTGGGCTTCTTGAATAAGGAGAAAATTCATTAACTTGATGTCAAAGATTGCATAGAAATTTAACTAAATCCTTAAGTAAAAGATGCAAAGCATTTCTTAGGACTCCTGGATCTTTCCTTGAAGATTTGCAAAGAAATGTGAAGGAACTGCTCCACTTTTAGTGCCATGCTGTGAGATTAGATGCCATCCCGCTATACATTCTTTTTTATAGCCCACTTCTATTTTTATTCCTGTTACACTGTGGAAGTGTTTGCTAATAATGTATGATAGGATGCTTTGTCATGAAAAAGCCTTGTATCATTTATCTGTTTCTGAAAAGAAATTCTCAGTACAAATCTAATAAGGAAAAAAAAATCCTATTCTAACTCCTGTTGGAGGAAAGGGATTGATTTATGGAGAGAGATGAAAAGCACTAAGTATGTATTGCTTGGCAAAATGAGGAATTGTAGAGAACTGTCTTTATGCATTTGAAGGGTGTAAACATCAAAGAGGCAGAAGAGCTATTTAGAGCATTAGGAGGAGGCACATCGAGGAGACAAGAGTTGAAATTAAATGAACATCGTTAACTTAAAAATCATACTTCTGCCTGTGAATCTATTTCCTGATATTACTACTCGTAGCACTCTGATGAGTAAAAATGAAGCCTGTATGAAAAATAGTTTAGATATTTTTTCCTATCTGATCAAACAGACCTTCCTGGAAAGTTTATAAAGCCCAGAACCTGCAGCTATTTCTGCAAACTTGGGAGAAAAGCTTCCTTTAAATTCCCCCCACTTCTCTTGCCAGTGGTGGTTGTTGATCAGAATAATGGGCTGTTTTCCCCCGTGTTTTCTGACCGCAGGCAGCCCGCTTTGGTTATCTGGGACATGACTCTGACACTGTGTGGGTGTGAGAGCTTTTACCCCAGTGGAGGGGCAAGTTTGCCATCGCTAATAACCCACCTGGAGAAACAAATAGCATCCTCAATCACACCCCCCAGGAAGCCCGCACGTGGTCCTGCAGGATGCCCAAACTCCTCTGCCTGGGACTCCACTAATTGCCCATGGTCCTCAAATAAAGCATCAGGCAGAGGAACGGCTCCATGGGAAACGAGCATCCTTGCTCTCAGATGAGGCTTTTGACTGCACTTCAAAAGGCTGCTGAATGCCACACGTGTGGGGATCTCAAGGACAAAGTTCTGCTCCCATTAAGCCAGGCTGTGCGAGCTGCCTGTGCCCATCTGCGGGAGCGGGGCTGGGTCCTCTGCCCACGCACCAGCGAGGCAGGGGTCTGCGCATGCATATGGATGTGCTTGGATAATTGGAAGCGTACAGCTGGGGGCTGGCATCCAAAAACCAGCATTTGGCTACGTGCCTCCCTTCCGATTGCTAGCAGCAGCCCGCGGTACCCAGAGCCACCCCTCTCCATGCCTTCACTCCTCAAGCAGCTGAGCAGCATTCATGGTGGCAGGTGAAGAGAGCAGGGCTCACTGCTCTCAGCCTCTCCAGGGAAATCCCCAAATCCCTGCAGAATTATAGACGCTGTTTTTTTTTTTTTTTTGCCTTTTATCCCCAGACTTTTAGTCTAAGGGGGATACTGGACTCTGTTCTCACATTAGCAGTGAAAAAGAAGCAGAGAAGGAGTTTTCTGGGCTCCCTCACCACCTTCATGAGTGGGGAAAAAAGGCAAAACCCAGGGGACCAGATGCAACTAAATTGCTAAGTCAGAGCACAGAGGGCATGCAGGCTGAGACTTTTCTAACAGACTGCTTTCTCCAGTCAGAAACCAATCATTAAACACAGTATTTCATGTGTGTGGGGGAAAAAAAAAAAGGAAAATTGTTAGAATAGCAAGTGTCTGATAATAGACCAGATTCAGAAGTAAATGTGTGCTATCTGAACAATAAAAGTATATGCATGTATAATAAATATGATGCCTGCCAATGACAAACTCTGATTTATATTCCTGGTGTTTCTAGCCCTAGAGCACCACAAAAACATCATAATGAAAAACATTCAGAAATAAATAGGAAAGGATGAACCTGCTTGTGCAAGCAGGGAATTACACTGCTTGCTGTGCCCCTGCCTGCAGGCACCAGGGTCCTGTGCTTGTTCATGGCCAAAAACATCAGATCCTACAGGAATCTGGTTTCTGCCGCAGTCACAGCTCTGTGCAAAGACTAGGTTGAGTTCATGCAATGCAGGAGGGCAAGGAAACATCCTCTAGACTGCAGGCTAGCAAAGTGAAAAGAGCAGAACATTGGTCACCAAACCACCAGTTTTAATCCAAAACAAGAGCCTTACCATGATAGCAGTAGGTGGAAAGCCCCCCTTCTTCAGGTGGATCTTCAGGGTCCATGGCCAAGTAGCGTGGCTATGCCTGAGCTAAAGACCTGCCCCCCTCCAGCACAACTCAAAAAGGAACAAGGGCACCAAGCTGAGCTTAAATGGTCCCCAGGGCCCTGGGTGTGGGTGCAAGACCCAGGTGAGGCTGGTCAGGGCTGTTAAGACCAGTCAGTGCCTCGGGGCCTGGGCAGGCTCGTGCTTTGCACCAGGTTCTGAAGATTTCCCTCTTCCAGCCTCAGCTGGAGAAAATCTTTGTTAAGCCTTGACAGTTTAAGGCCTGTCTAGATGGGTTTGAGTGTCTGTAAGTTTGGTGCCTGGGTTTTAAAGCAGAAGTTTATAAAGGCCCATTACGGGGCATAAATACTGAATCTGTGTGATCTGTTCTACCTTTAGTCACCAGGTGTTTGGATCTGACAGCCTGGGTATGGCACCAGTAATTCAGAACTAGCACTGAGACTGTGAGCAGCCCCAGAAACCCAGCTGTCAAAGTAGGAACCAACTAGTTAATTTGGAAATTATTTTGTCCTTTTTCCCCTTAGCTGCAAGAGGAAAAAATATTTTTTAAAGCACCACTTCGGCTTTCAGGTGGCTGGGATGGACTTTTGATGCTCAAGTTCTGTGATCATCCGTCCCCTCTTGCTGCTTGCATCTAGCTACAGAAGAGAGCAGCTTCAGCAGTTAGCAGAGAGGAATCAGTACAAGATCAGATCGGGTCTGTAATAGGTAGCAGGCAGGAAAGGCTGGAACAGAGCAGCACTTTGGCAGCTGCTCCAGCGGTTTGGGACATGAGAGACCGAGGAAAATTCAAGATGGTCAAACAACACTTTGCCTTTTCACCTCCCCTCATCATGAATGTGACATTTTCACTGCAGGCTTTCATAAACTGCAGCAATAAGTGGAGCAGAAAGGCAGTAACCCATCCAAGGGCCAGTGCGGAGCTCCATTGCCTGCAGTGGAGTCGAAGAAATCAGCCTGCCACACATTTCCCAATGCCATAGGCTGCTACAGAAGATGCACCGTGCCAGGGTATCCGGCCTGAGAGCAGAGTCCATTTATTTCAGGACTGAATTTGGCCTGGGGCTGGTGCTATTCTGAACAAAGTTGGAAATCAGTGACCTGTGGAAAACACTTGTTCAGCACCTGGTTCAGTTAAGAGCCCAATCTGCAAACAGTAAAGTCTGGATGCTCCACCAACCAGAACGAGTCCTAAAGCTCTCAGAGTTTACTGTTGAAGTTAGGTTTACCCATCTCTTAATGAACAGATTTTTGTTCTGGGGGTATTGTGTCCATTTCACAATGTGTTTCATTGTCTTCCAGATGTATGTCCCCTCTTTGGTCCTTCCTTTGAAAGGGTGAATGGGAGAGGGAGAGGGAGAGGGAGAGGGAGAGGGAAAGGGAAAGGGAAAGGGAAAGGGAAAGGGAAAGGGAAAGGGAAAGGGAAAGGGAAAGGGAAAGGGAAAGGGAAAGGGAAGGCACATATGACCCCTTCTGGGGTACATCAATCAGAGCAGAGCAGCGAAAGATAACAGGCTGCATAAACTCTTCTTAGGAGCCACCTACTATTTACCTAAATTGCATTTCTCAGCGCTGTTGAGAAGCATTCCTCGTTCTTTGAAAGGAGGGATGAAAGCAGGAATCCTGTGATGTCTCTGCCCCTCATCCCTTCTCACACCTCCCACCCACATGGGAACTGCTCTTTGCTGCAGCAGCTGCCTAATCACTAACCCCTCTAACACACATCAGACTAGACTAAATTTACCGATTTGGCAACATTCTGGCTGCTGCTTTGGCAGTGATGGGCAAATCTGAGATCCAAACACACCTGTTCACCATTTTAACCCCATTAACTGGATTTATAATGCTTTGGGTGTAGGAAGATATGGGAAATGTGTTCTCTGCATCAGCCCCTTTTGTTGGGTGACAGAGCTGCATTCATCTGTCCCTTAGACCAAGGATGTTTCACCAACTGATTTAATTACATGAAGCTTATGCAGGAGTTACAGAAGGATTATCTGGGTTTTATCATGGTTATTATAGAAAATGATTATATTGTTACTATTACAGAGTTACAAAACGTAAAGAGGAATCACAGCAAACTTGGCAAGAGCTCATTAGGAGTGTGGTGCAGTCTGCAGGAGCTAATTAAAAATGCCTATATCTCATAATAACCATTTATCTCATCACAGCCTCCATTCCCTGACTTTCTTTCTCTGGATGGAGTGAGAGCGAATGATCTCTTCTCACTGGTCTATGTGCACGCTGTAAAACACACCGAATATGCTGCAGTACACATGGTTTTGTTCCAGGGTATGAAGCCACCAGCTCCATCCTTGCCCGCCTGGGCTGTGGGCTGACTGCCCTTCCCGACCACATGAGGCCACATTAGATGCTCTGGGGCCGCCTGGAGATGCTTTAGGAAATAACTTATTCAACTATTCCAGAAAAAGCTTCTTGACATTTTAGATTCTTGGCCCTGTGAAGCGTTATGATGATGAAGGTGACTCACAGCTCCTCTTCTGCTCATGAGGTCACTCCAACAAACTCCAGCTCTGTCCAAGCTCTCCAGAGGTGAGCACATCTCTTGCCTCCAAAGGCATCCACTTTAATTTTGTTAAATGCCGCTTATCTGCAGGATCCATCTTAATTTCCCTGGATCTTCTCACTACAACTGTCACACAGGTCCCTGACTGCAGTATCACTGTCTCCTTGTGGCAATAAGGGTAAGCGTGGAGCTGCTGTCTCCCAGCGGGAGGGGTTGCCATGGCTCATCTAATTCTCTCTTTCCCCCATGCCCTGGAAACAACAGAGGAAATCTTCACTAATACATAAACCTGTGTGCTCCTCCAGGAGCTCTTCTTCTCTCCTGCATCTGTCACACCAGAATTGCAGGGGGAAGGCAAGGCAGGTGACAGGAGGCAGCTCGGTGGTGGCTGTCTGACCCTGCTCTTCCCCCCGCGCTGCATACGGGACAACAGCTGCAGGAGAGGAGGAGGAAGGCTGAATGCAAGAAGATGGGGACCGTAACCCTGCAGGAGGTGCTGGTTGGGAGACATGAAAATGGTATTAAAACAGCATAGTAAAACGGGTATTTGCATTTATTGTGCCCAAAGTCTTACTGAAGTGGCTGGAACCTCTGGTATCTCTCTGTTTCCAGCAATATGTTGGTCTGCACTGCTTACTATGACTGCAAGCTTCGCTGAGACATCTGCATCTCTTCTGTAGGATTGCTCCTTCTGTACGCTTTCACAACAACAGAAAGACACAGCTTCCAGTTAATCTGTGTTATCTGGAAAGATGAAATCAAAGCGAAATTCGTTTTGTCAACAGGGGTGTGAGTGCTGACAGGAGATGGATAGGAACAGGCGAAAACTAGCTGTAGTGGTGCCCGACAAATCATTTCTCACACTTATGGTGCCTGGATGCAGGGGGATATTCTCGAGATGACATTTGATGAACCTGTTTTCTTTTGGAGCTGGAATTAAAAGGCTCTGTAGGAAAAGAAGAGAAATAACTTGCAAAGGCACACAGCTGTGATACCATTTTCTGTGCAGCCCCACGACACTGGGCAGCCTGCAGGGGAGCAGAGCAGAGAGGCACAGCCTGCCTTGCTCTCCAGGGAAAGGAGGGTGTACTTACACTTCTTAATCCATCCCAAAATATCAGTATCTTGGAAACAAATTCCTTGTCATGTTTAATCTTTGCACACATTTTCAATAAAGCAGATGGAGAGGCTGCTGAATAATGAAATCCTTGAGCCTGTTGCAGCTGAAGTCAGATGTAAAATCAACGTCAGCAGCACGGAGATTGTGCTCCTCGTGACAGCAGGAACCGAGTCTGAGGTCTGTTGGCCTTCAGTGCAACCCGGCGGATCCTCACCCCTCCAAGACACTGCTCTTCTGCTTAAAATTTCTTGGTCAAATAAAGACAATTAAGTAACTGAGGAGCATAAAAATGTCAGTGTGAGTAGCTCAGCCTGTTCCCAAAAGTGCTGGCAGCAGATACTCATGGAAAAGACTGTGAACAGGGTGAGAGTTAAAGGTACTTCTCAGAAATACTCTCTCAGCTGCCTGGGCTTTGTGGTTCAAGGAGTCCATAGATAGGCTCAGAAAGGGAAATACCTCTTTTTGCGTGTACTGAAAACCTTCCAGTTTCAATCTTTAAGTCTTTAGTTCTGCTGGGAGGGATGGTACAAGTCATTCCCTCTTTGCCCTCTCCTTGTCACTCACAAGTGACATCAGGCAGCAGGAGATGGTGACTCTGTTAACCAGCTGCTGGAGTCCTGGCTACAGCTGGTCTAAAATAGACAACACTTAATTTGAAGTTTTTTGTTTGTTTGTTTGTTTGTTTTTTCTCCAAAGAATTCCTGCTGATTTGCAGCCAGACCTTGCTGTGTCCATAGGGAAACTCGCTGCATCCTCTGCTGTGGGAGCTGTCTGCTGACCATTGCGCTGGCTCCCCCCTTTCCCAGTCATTATTTTGACACCAGCTGGCCATGGTTTTATTGGGTTTCTTTGATCATATAGACCCCATGTCCATAACTTCAGACAGAAATCAGAACTATTTTTCCCCAAACCATATATTTTAAATTGTTTCATCCTAAAAATAATTTATATTTCTTTTTCTCCTATTATTATTATTTATCTACACATGTGACGAAGATGATCAAATGAGTAGTGCCTACTCTTCACTTGTCTGTACAGCCTGCTGTCTCTGGAGACTAGGAACACTTTATCAAAACCAATCAATTAAACCTAAACAATCAATTAAACCAATCAACTAAATCTAACCACTCAATTAAACTTATCCACTATGCCCATTGGGCTGGCATGTCCAATATTCAGAAAAAGAAAACACGTATTTAAAGTCCTGGCATTTTCCCAGAAGTTGTCACTCCCCTTCTGAAAACAATGTTGGAGAAATCAGGATTTTGCTCATGTAACTTCTGCACATTTCTCCCTTTTAAGCTTTCTTTGCCAAACTTCATTTTCAGATGTATTCCTGCCTAAAACTCTGTTGTATCAGCCCTTCTCTCAGACGTCCTCTGTTTTCAGAGGCAGTTTTGACTGCACACAAAAACTCAGCTGCTGCCCAAGATGAGGAAATCTCTTTTTGCAAGGACAGCAGACAGGGAAGCTCTTGGCAGATGGAGCAACCTGTGAGTCACTTCCGTGGCTTTTCCAGGAGATGTTGCAGACAGAGGCAGGACATTGAACTTAGCTGAGATTTCCCAACTGTCATGTTATTTGGGTGGCCAAACATGAGTCATTTCTAAACCTAGATCACGCTGGTTTTGTTGTTGTTGTTTTGTTGTTTTTTTTTTGTTTGTTTGTTTTCCCTGAAAACAGACTATCTACTAAAATAAAACAAAGCACAAGAGATATTCCTGGTGAAATCAATCTGTGTCAGCTTTCCTGAAATCAGCACCATATAACAAGCATGAATTTTTCTCCTCTAAGCTATTTACCCTCATGCCTGGGAACAGATTGAGGAAAGAGGCTGGAGAGGCCGTTATGTCCCACCAGTAGCTGTCCTCTGAAAGCAGTCCTGCAAGCTGAACAGGGATGCGATGCTGCAGTCTCATCTCTGGATGCTGAAAAAAAATTCTAATGAGAAAAAGATTTTCATATGGTCAATGACTAAGACAGTAATTAAATGAACTATATAAAATGTTTTGGAATTAGTAGAGAAAAACACAGCTTTATAAAGTGTAATAGAGGCTAAGGAAAGCAGCAGTGTGACCCCCAAGATTTTGACATGTATTCAGCACGTGTAGCATGAGGTGTCCTGGTGTACACGTACAATGGGACTCGTCTGAAAGGAATGAAGAGCACCAAGGAGCGAGAAATTAGAAGACAGAAAAGAGGGAGGGGGATTAATCAGCATTAGTGCTGCTTTCAATCACTGTGTTCCCTATAGAAATTAAATTGCTCGACTCATATCAAGTTACCCATTACCAATACACGCCATTGCTTTCGTTTCTCACTTTGCTGGGCAGACCGCAGTGATGTCCTTGTGCTTCAGCCTTGTCTGCAGAGTAAAGGGGTTAATTTGATCTCCCTCTCTGTCTCTTTAAATATAACTCCTAAATTTGATCGTTTGCCTTTTTTTTTTTTTTTTTTTAATTATTACTACAATAGCTGCAGCTTTTCTGGAGGAAATAGCTCTCCCACCAATACACTGCAGTTTTCCAAAGCAAAGTTTGAACCACCTCCATCAAACCTAATGGTCACAGCTTTTAAACCTTTCAATGAGGGTAACAAGCTATTATTAACCACAGCACAAAAGCAAAATACAAGCTCTCCCAGTCCAGTATCTGCAGCTCCAAAACCAGATATAACAAGACAAACACATCGTATACACACACGTAATCCTGTGAATATCTGTCATATATACACATGGTACACACTTTTGGTTCTTGCATAGATATCCATATACTTGGAGTAGCCACAAATGATAGCTGCAAAAAACAAGTCTCCGATTTTCATTACCACCTGTAATTCCACCTGGGTTCATTACTTCCTCTGCTAAAGTGATAAATAAAGTAATAATTCTCCCTAAAAGCTGTGCTGTGTATTGCACTGCTTGAGCACCCTCCTGGTACATTAATGGGGTGCTGGGACAGGCATTATGGATGTTTAGATCCCAGTATATGAGCTGAGTATTCCTCCCCACCTCAAATTAAGAAGAAACCCAGCATTTTGAGGAGATTTACATTGATTTTCCTGCTGTAAACCAAACCAAGCTAGAGCATCTGGAGTTCTTCACAAAGTGCTCGGCACGTGCTGGAAACTTGGCCTCATGTCCCCAAACAGGCCAGAAATAGCCTGTCCCCAGGGATCAACTGACCTCCATGCTGCCTTTCCAGGTCTGTAAATTTTATCTGATGGGCTTCAAGGGATTTCCTCTGATTATTGCGGGTGCCTCTGGAGATAGATTTGAAAGGATCCTGAATGCCTGTGAGACCTCTCCCTCTGAAGCCAACCCATGGAGAAACCTGGCGGAGGAGCTGTAAATCTTGGGAGGTTTTACAGCAGCTCCCCAGACATCTGTATTGCCTGTATCAGCAAACGCTCCATGCATCGCTATGGGAGTGGGATGTGGCAAGGGGAGAGCTTAATTTAGAAAGCAACTATTTAATACCTACAGTTCTACATGGCAGCCAAAAATGTAACCCCAGACAAATAGCTTTCCTAACGCAGACTGTATTAATATGTGTATATATATAAAGTAACAGCATTGCACTCACATGCTCATTTTCCACTGGCTGATCATGGGCAAACCCTCAATCACATCCAAACCCTGCTGTGCTACCACGAATGCTGGAAAGAGGTAAATATTCACGTGTCTAGGCTCCTTGTTTCCCTTCCAAAAAGAAGGCACACTACTGCCCCAGCCCAGCTGCAAGGGAGGCATTTGAATTAAGAACAGAGCTGCACAATAAATCTTCCTGGGTGGGAACAGAGGTAGCACAATGGGGTTGAAAAAAGAGGGAGTGGGAAGAAGGTTCTGGGGCATGCTGGTATTTTGATAGCATACATAGTTTTGGCCAGAAAAAAAAATATCTCAGATTGGTTTAGTGGCAGTGATGTGATGGGTTTGCAACCTTTCCTACAAAACCTGATGTGCTTTGTATAAAGAGTGCCATAGAAATGAGAGGAATCAATACAAAGATGCCTCTGTGCGTGCATGTTTTATATTAAGACTTAGTTGATGACTTCTCGTCATTTGAAAGAAATGTTCAGCCTCAGTGCTTGAAATTATCCAGCTGCAGCATTTTCTACTCAAACCAATCTCCAGTTAATTTGATCCTTCATTTATCTTGAACAAAGCCTCCTAATAAAAACATTTGTATTACAAATGATACACTTGATCAATGGGATTGCTTTAGGCAAGTATTTGATAATTTGAACACTAGCTATAAAAAGTTCTCATTTAATAAATGTAACTGGCCCAAATTTGCAGTGAGAGAAAGCCCCAAACCTGTACATCACTAAACAAGCCAGACTGTAATTAAATATAGGGTTATTTAGATGTTCTTAACAACATTATTGTTAGAACTGGCTAGTGTAATCTCTGTGATATTAGCCGTAATTATTTTTAGGTAGCACGATTAATTATTTAGTTCAGTCCAAGTGACAAGAATGGATTGATTCAAAATAAGAAGCTGACTGGGTGCTAAGCTATTAATTTCCTTTCAATCCTGTAATTCCTTCGGTCAAATTGGTGAGATAAATACACACATGAGAAAGAGGCAGAGACCTCTCCCAGGCGCGGACTCATGCACACAAATACCTGCACACCCCACCACTCGCACTACAGGCACCTCCTTGACAAATCTGCCTGTTGATGGTGGGCAGAATATTTACTGCTGTTTTCCCACAAAACCTGCCAGGAAACTTCTGACTTGACGTTTGGGGCAATAGCACCCTGAGCATCAACAGCAGCCAGGTCCTGTGCAGTACAGGAGATAGCATGGGACCCTTTGCAGAGGCTGGGAATGGGGAAACAGCCACCAATAACATTCATGTCTGCATTTCTGAGATCGCTTTTCAAGCACATGAGCACTTCAAGGTCGCAGACTGCTTTGCTATGGATGGTATGTTCCCCCTCACAGGCCTGGGTCTGAGCTAGGAAACATTACCCCTTGACAGTCAAAGCGGATTTCTGCTTTATTGCATTTGCTGTTATCCCTCACTCCTGGATGCTTTGGGAAGCAGTCCCGCTACTTGGAATTTTATGCTGTGTTTATTTTCATTAATGGTGGCATTAATCAGCTGTTTTCCCTGGGTCTCCACAGACTGCTCAAGGATACTCTTGGAATGCAAAGACAAATTCCAGGTCAGAATTCCTGTTGCTTGCTATTATTATGGTTGCAAAGTGAAATCACTGCTCTCTTTGTTCAGACTTGTGCATGAGCACACTAAAAAACTGCCATCAGCTCCAGCATCCCTTCTGCACCCTGGTCAAAGAACTCTGTTCCGACACAGCTACCAGCAGCTGTATTATGAAAAAAATTGAAGTCTACAACAAAAATGTCACACCATACATCTGCCTATTTTGTTTTGCTTCTCCAACCCTTTTAAATCAGCATTTTTAGGACTTCATTTAAAATGGAAGACCAGGAAAGGGCACAATGAGGATTCTCTCCTGTCACATCACGCACTGAGTTGTACACCATAACAGCCTCAAATCTCTTCCAATCCATCACTTATTTCCCTCTAGAAACTTTTCCACTCTATTGTCTTTGACTGTTATTTATTTATTTGGTTAGCTGACTTCAAGGGACATTTCTCCTGGCTGGATAAAGACATTTTGCAAACAAACGCATGGAAACATTTCTGATAACGCTGCAGAAAGCTGGGTCCCTGTGGGCAGGTGATGCTCCGTGCCGTCCAGCAGCCACCGCAGCCTGCTTCAGGAGCAGCATTTTCACTGCTGGCTGCAGCGAGGGCCGAGGTGGGAGGAATTAAAGGGTTGCTCAAGGATCCACCGGGCTCTAAGGACTCCCCTGGGGAGGATAAAAAGGAATTAAGAAGGACTTTTATTGACGAGGATATGTTGCTTGTGCACACAAAAGAGCGTAATTGTAAGTATTAGGAGGGAGGTTTGCTATGGCTGAAACTATCGTTTACACCCCATGGAGAGTAAAAAAAGGTCTTTTTAAAAAAATAATAATTAAAAAAAAAAGGCTGAGAACTTGGGTAGATGCTCTACCTTTTCTGGTGCTTTACAAGTCAGTCCAAAAGGCCTGAGGCCCAGATAAGGGTTACTAAATAGGAAAGCAGCAATAAATAAATAGCATTGTCGCCCCTGTTCGGAGAGCTCCACATTTTGCTGCAGCACCCTGAGACACTGAGCTGGAAGAAGAGATGTAGATCTCCATCAACAAAGTGTGTTCTGTGGAAAAAAAAAACACCTTTGGGCAACTCTGCAGCATCCAAAGGAGAGGAGAACACGGTGCCAGCGTCTGTTCAGCGCCGGGAGAAGAGAGCATCTGCTTCGAGACTCTCTGACGTTTACTTCGAGTGAGAAATCGTTGCCCTAGCCATAATACTTCAGGAGCGAGACACATAAAGTGAATGGAATCCACACAAATGAGGTAGTTAGCGTAACCGAATACGCTGTTCATTCCTTCAAGAATGAAAAATATGAGTAATTCCCTGGCAAGGCCCAATTACAGCCTGCCAGCCTTAGCACACGGGTTATATCTATTATGAAATAATAAGATAACATTAATAAGATTCCCAGAAAGAATATCAGATAGCCATTCTCCAAGCTGCTTAAAGCTGGTCTGACTATTCAAGTTGTCTCCTGCCTAAGGAGCCTAGCACTCACCAGGTCTTTCTGGTCATCTTTGGCCAGAAAGGTGCAGGTCGGCCAGCTTTTAAGCAAGCGGCTCCGAGTGGGAGATAGGGCAAGGGCTGTGGGAGTGCTAAGGAGCTGCTCTCTTTTAAGGAATTTCAGTATTAGGCAGGAACTGGGTGCATATTCTTCAGGTGAATATCGCTCCCCCCCTTCCTGAGATACCTATGGAGGTAAGCTCAGAAAAAAAATAATAATATAATATAATCATAAAAAGACATAGGTACAGTTGATTGGAACATCACAGGTTGCTCAGAAGCCCAGAAGGGCAGGAGACAGCTGTGATTTCCATCACTGATTTAGCAAGCTGCTTCTCAGACACTGGTAGGGGGCAGCCAGCTCTCCAGGCCCAAGGAGCGAAGCTACCAGCAGCCAGAGGCTGTACATTTGGCAGGTGGCTAAATTGGCTCTGCAGCCTCACCCGACCTTCCCTTCACGGGGAAGGGAAGATGCTGAGTCTCAGCACAGAGGGTAGTGTAATGAGGATTAATAAGGCGTGTGAAGATGCTATGTAATTGTCCGGCTGGCTGTTTCTTTTGCACCTTATGCTATCATTTATGCTCATGCAAAGTGGCTGTAAAATGCTCCTGGTCTGATTCAATATAACTCCACGGACCCTCGTACAGGTGTAAATTGCTCTGTGAAGTTCAGGGCAATGTCTAAATGCCCTGAATCTAGGCTCCTAATCTAGTCGTCTCCATTGTCTTTCCTTCTGTCCCTGAAATTGCACGCAGCCAATTGAATATTTTAGTGCCCAATGAGCTACAAAATGTTGGCTATTTCATGCAAAATAATGCATGAAATAAATAAACAAATAAATAATAATCCCTGCCTGGGACTCCCCAAGAGGTGAATTTTCCGTTTTAGCCCCTCAGGGACTGGAGCTGCATGGAGGTGCACAATGACCATGAATCCAAGCCAAAGACAAGCCATGAAAAATGAAGTTACAACATTGTCTTGGAGGAAATGGTCAAAAAGCCCATGCCTGACCTTGTCCAGACATAGGAAAAAGCAACTGCAGACCAAGAGCAGCTGTAAAATGAGCCTGAACTAAAACGTATTACAGGGAATAACCCTTAAAGAGGTGGAAGGCTTTGCTCGATGCACTCCTACAGGTAATTTCAATCCCTGGCAGCTGCAATGTTTCAATAATGAATGTCAGACCGCTGGACAGCTGAGAGGGGAATAAATATCTATTTGCCTTCACTGGAAGTAGCATTAGTTTGACATATGACATTCAAATGATATGAACTTTAAAAGAGTGGTTAAATGACTGCTGTTTGACTTGAAACCTTGAATCCACCGAAGCAGCATCCCAACCGTTTACCTTCGCTCCGAGGGGGATTGAAACGCTGGGCTTAAAAATGAGAGATCAGAGCGTTTCTGCAAACACAGCCCGCGGGATGCAGTGTGTCCAGCTGGTAGCATACGTGCCCCGTGGGACGAGAGGGGGAAAGATGGATTCTGCTGTACGGCACCGTCCTTGTGTCCCCATCACTGCAGATGCCTGCTGCCAGCACGGGGGGAGCAGCATAGAGCTGGGCGACAGAAGGGGAAGGATGGAGGGACGAGCTTTGGGGCCATGGGACAGAATGGGGTGCGAGAGCAGGGTGCCCCTACCTGGTCCCGTCCTCTTTCTCCTGGTGTCCTCCTCCTCCTCCTCCTCCACGCCGCTCTCGGAGGCTCTCCTGCACTCTGCCTCCCAGGCAGCCAGCCCAGCCTGCGCCGTGCCCGTCAGCTCATTTCGGGGTTGTCCGAGAAACCAGCGCTGCAAAGCATTTACCTCTCTATTTTGGGAGACCTTGTTAAGCACTTGTCACATTAGCCTGTCAGCTTAATACCAGCAGTCATAACACTTTTATAACCTACCTGCTGAAGTGCCTTTGCTTGCAATCCTTGCACTAAAGCAAGAGCTGAGGACCAAAGCTGCTGCAAGAAAAAAAAAAGAAATCGCTGCTTCCTGACCTTTGGGCAGACTCTGTGGGCTAATTATTCCATCGATTTTAACCGAATCAAGCGTTCAGTGAGGCTGTCTGGAGGCCTGCCTCTCTTCAACTGCAGGTCTCGTACCGCACCAGCAGCAATCATGCGGACAACCTCGTCGCGAGCTGGGGTCAGGGTCAGCAAAGCTCCGAGTGGCTCGCGCCTGGTGGCAGGCAGGGCTGGTGGCAGACAGAGCTGCCCTAGCAGGGGACAGCCCAGGGACATCCCCACTCGCTGGCTCATGCCACTGGGGGAGAGGACCGAGAGCGAGCAGAGCACTGGAGCATGCATTAAGCCCAGCAGTGACACCCCTCCCAGCACCGTATTAAATGCAAGCGGGTGCTCTTGCTTAAAACTGGACTAAATAATTGAAGCACAAGTGAGTGGGGCCAGATTTGAATGTTGCAGCTTCGTGGTGAGCTCTCCTTACAGCAACAAGAGCTTTCCAGGAGCTGCTGCTAAGCTGAAGGCAGGTTAGCTTCAGGAAGCTGCACTGTGCTATGGGAGGGAAATCAGCACAGCAAAGGAGCTGGCACTGAGGGCTTTTTATAGATCCTATATGTGTTTCGGGGGCAGCAGGAGACTTGATTCAGCAGCTGAAGCACATTAGATGAGCTCCTGAAGCACTTGTGGTTGAGTGCCGTCCAACCGAAACCCATTTGCTCACTCTGTGACTTCTCTGGGATCTGAGTCAAAGCATGGCACAAAGGCAGATATGCACCAGATCTCACTGTTGGTTAGCTGTAAACATTTTTATTTTTTAAATGTATTTGCAGGTAAACTGAGGCACGGCGCTGCTGAAGCCTTAAGCTCCATTTCCCTCTGGCTGCAGGGGAGCTGTGCATGTTCAGCACCTCTGGAAGTCAGAGCAGCAAGGACAGGCACAGACCGACCCCAGAACTGCGGCACCAACCAGAGGAACACCAGAAATCAATCCCATCCCACGGGCTATGCCAGGCTCGTGTCTATCTGTTGGAAGGCTCCCAGGATCAGAGCGATTCCCCACTGCAAGCTCCCACCCAGCCACCCCACCAAACCAACATCTGAACCTCATCATTGAAAACAGCATCCTGTTAACCTTTTCAATGCCATTTTCCCCTAATCTTCCTTTCTGCTCTTCATCACTACCAGGTTTAGCAACCCCTGCCTCTGTGTCAGCCCCATTAGCAGCAGCACTGCTATCGATTCTCCTGGTCACAGTGAGGTGGACGTGAAGTTTCCTGGTTAACAGAGCAGAGCCTGGGAGCAGCACCACTCTCTGCCTCCCCTCCCTGATTCAAGGTGAAGGCAAACGGGCAGATCAGCCTCCTTTCCTAATCCTTCCTACAAGCCCAAGTGGGAAACAGCAAAGGCGTGCACTTGCTACTCTCCAGTGCTTCTGAATTCAGCCAAATGGAGGTGAGATTTGGCATGCCCCAACATCACCTTGTCTTTGCCAGAACCCAGCACAAGCACCTGAAGATAAAGCCAGGCAGCACCATGAGCTCGCTGGTGGGTTCTCCGCAGGTAAATCTGCGTTGCAAGCTGCAGCTGCCGGCTCACACGCTTAACCAGAGCAGAGAAGCAGCACCAGGGTGCCAGCAGATGAAGATGCCTTTGAACAGAGATGAGAAAGGCTGAAATCCTTTGACACCTGGAAGTGAACTGTATATTACTAAAATGTTAAGCAGCTTTGTGAGAGAGATTATCCTGAAGGATATTTTCCGCAGTGTTGACATTTGTGTGTGAGTGATTAATTCCAGCGCGGGCATGGAGCAGGGAGGCAAAACCCTTTGTGCATCGCTCGTGACTTCCCTCGCTGCCACCAGCCAAGCCACAGCCTTCAGTCTAGAGAGGTCATTAATGCCTCCCTGACCTGTGACACTGTGTTACTTCATCACCCTCATCTGCTCGGTCACCTCTGAAGGCAGAGACTTGGGGATTTTCCATGCCCCTTTTTTGTCAACCACTGTGGCAGCAGAGTCACTTTTCTGCTGTTTGTTCTCCTGGTTTTTGACTGCCTCTATATTTTGTTGTTATCTCTTGAGATGCTCCATCACAGCCACAGTGAAACACAGAGCAATGGCTTTAAAAGAGAGGGACGGTAACAGCAGAAAACAAAGATGAACCCTTGCTTTTGTGCAAGGGCAGCAGAAGGTAGCTGTGAAGCTGCAGGTCATGAAGGCAAACAGGGAAGCTGGAATTTTCTGACCCTCCCACCCTGCTCATCGCTGGCTCTCAAGGGAAACAGCCTTGTCCTTTCCCAACCCTTTCAGGCAAGGATGTCTTTCACTGGGGAATTTAATCCACTGCAGAAAGGTTGTTATGTGTCTTTTGGGGTTTTCAACTAAATGCTTCAAAAGTATGAAGAAAAAAAAAAGAAAATATAAACTATAAAAAGAATTAAAAGATATATAATAATATATATAATCTATCTGTCTATAAAAATAGTATATCAGAACAGAAAAGCAATATAAAAAGAAAGAAAACAACTGCTGTCTAATGACTGAAGTTCCTAAGCCCATTTTTGCACTGGAGACCACTTCACACTTACACAATCAATGGCTCTCCTCAGCCATTTATTTTGGACTGGGGTGTCTTACACTCAGCGTCTCTACAAGCAGCTCTTACTACTGATGATATATGTTAGGTAACACCTTAGATGTGTTTAAGACACAATGAGTTTTCATCCACCAGGAATCCAAGCATTATTATACATGGTAGTGACCCGGGTAGGTGCACTTGCAATTATTTCAGCCAGCACTGAAATTTGACAGTTTGGAAGCAGAAGACTGTGTGATGGGGAAGGGTACATCAGAGCAGGTGCATGAGTTGTCCAGGAGAGAGCACGGACAGCACTTTGAACCCTGCATGAAGTCATCAGATCTGCAGCATGGAGCAGACCCTGGAATCAAACCTCTTTGCTCTCACAGAAAGACGAATGCCTGGCTGAGACAAGCAAGCCAGCACCTTTGGTAATTTGTGTTGTTACCACGTCATAGTAGAAAAATGAACTGCCAAAACAGGCTCCTGTATCCATTCTGTGGCCCTGACTTTTGAGGCAGAGGTACATTGAGGATCCCACCTAAGCAATGAGGAAGCCTTGCTAGGAGAGGTGGTGGGACGGGACCACACCATTTTTTGGCAAACAGCTTGTTAGACCTACAGATGGATTAACTTGTGTATGGAGGAAAAAACAGAAGCAGAGACTGGCTTCAGTTGGGTACAAAAGAGGTAAGCAAGCTTTTTATTGTGATTAACTTCTCTTTAGCAGTTTCTGGACAAGTAACACGAAGTGGGAGAGTACAGAGCATTAGGTCCTCCGGAATGTAAAAAAAGCATAAAGTCTGGGCAAGACTTCCCAGCTCTCAACAGCCAAAGGCAACGTCTTTCTTCCAGACCAGGGTTCCCCAGGACATCCAAAGGCTCTCAGTGCTACACCCTGTGTCATTTTTAATTCAGTTAATTTGGTCTTACAATGGCCTAATACACATCAGAGACTAAAAGGTGTCACAGTAGCAGTGTAGACGGTGCCTGTACTGACAGTCGCTTCTGTGGGAGATGGCTGCGTGCCCGGGGTAAAACAAGCAAACAATCAGAAAATACACGCAGGGCACTTCTCTCCCACTCCACAAATCTCCAGTCATTAGGGGGAACTGCTTGTCTCTGGGCTCCTTCAGTTAACTCATCTGCAATCTGAATCACTCATAAAATCATAAGAAAATCTAAATAAATCAGCATCAGAAAATTTGCCACGGGCATTCATTCCTGCAAGGACGTGACCACTTTAACACTTGTCAGGGTCAGAGCACACAGCTGAGGAAATATCCCTGGACAACTCTGCATCCCCAGGAGTATAAAACCAGAAGACACACAGAGCTGCCCAGCAGGCAGTAGGAACAGGAGCAATGGTAGCATTACTTAACTGTGTGCAATTTGCTCTCCCTCTCCTGATTTAAATTACACTGCCAGAAGAGACTGACAGTGTCTGGAATCAAATTGCTGAGAAAAGTGCCTCTTCAGAAGTAGAAGAAAAAAAAAAAACCACCCAAATAACTTGAGTGGAAATGGTCTTGCAAAATGCCTATTGTGATCTGGGACAGCAGGATCTGGGACTGAGGAGTTTTCATTAGGCTAATGCTCATTTAATTATGCCAGGCCAACCCCCTAAATGCCATGTTGTGAAATGGGGATTTGCACCACTGACATTTTTACATTGCACACATCAATCTGGGTCTCTGCCTAAGATTTAGGCAGAGAAAGCACCATCAAACAAGAGTCTCTGATCTGTTCCTTCACTTTTCCAGGTCACCGCGGACTCTGGGGACCATCTTCAGGACGATGGGTTTCTTTGGTTGCATGAAACCTTTCGTGTCCAAAACCAGGGGGATCTTGAGGAAAAAAGAAAACCAAAAGTACCACGTAAGATGGGGAAAAAAGGGGAAAAGGGCAGTCATGAAAATGAGAGAACCCCTACAGCCCACACACATCTCAGCCACCCCCCATTTTCAGTGCATTTCCTGACTTTACAGGTGTGTTTATAGGGCTATCACTAGTGCTCATGTAAAACAGACATGAGCTGGAGCTCAGTAGCCCTCAGCTCTTGATGAACTGGTCAGTGAACGCTGGTGTCCACATGGACAGTAAGAGGCACTCAGTGCTTGATGGGCTGCACACAGAGGGAAAAGCAGCCAAAATCCATCCAGGGAGCAGCAGCTGAGGAGGGGCACATGATGCCATTTTGTTTAACACTGAAATGTGTCAGCACTAAGGGGAGCTGGGCCATAATGGGAGTTAGAGGAACAATGTTATCTGGGAAATGAAGAAACAGAGAGAGCTGCTTGAGCTGAGTACCAAAGAAAAAGCGTCCTTGTGCAGAAAAGCACCAGGCTCCCTTGGGGTGGAAATTTCAATAAAAAGAACATTTACAGGTAGTGGTGAAGGGAGTCATCTTGTGGGGCAGGGAGAAGTGCTTCACCGAACCTCCTCCACCGCCACAATGCTGCTCATGTCCCAACTCTCCTCCTCCCCTGCAGGACACGGGCAGTACACCCCCACCCGACAAAGTGCACTAAAAGCCCCAATAAGCTTTGCTTCAGGAAATTTCAGCAATGTGGCTCTGAGCCCAATGTGCCATCAGTGGAGGAGTGAGAGGAGGTGGCAGCTCCCATGTCTGTATTCCAAAAGGATGTTTTGAGGTGAATTTTTCCCTTCCCCTCTGATTCAATACACACGACATCTTCTGAAGGAAAAAAGGGCTGAAAGAGACCCATAAACCTATGGGCACCAATAATACAATACATATTTAACTTGTCTCCCTTTAATTAAAGGCAGTTATAAAAAGAATCAATTTTATGGATTGCAGAGGACTAGAAAAATGTCATTAGACTTGGGGGAGGGTGGATAGGTCACCACATTGTTAATGGACTATTACAGTCTTTCACCTCCGGGTTACTAGTTGAGTCACAATCTGAATCTGCAGAGATTCCAGCTGAGTGCTCGTGCCAAGTAATAACTCTGTGAGTATTTTTGTTTTATACAACAAATGTCCTTTGAATGCACTTGCTGCCCCCTCTGCTCTGATCTCCTAAGCTTGTCTCGTGAACAAAATGTATTAATGGCAGCAAAGCCAGATTGGGGCTGGAAACTGAGTGTCCGTAGCCGAGAGTAACAGCAGATGCTACCTGCCTCTGAGTCATGGGGAGTTGCCCTGTTTTCAGGATATGCTGCAATGATTGCTGGAAAATTACATCAGGCATTTCCTTTATGTCAAACAGCCCCGTCCTGCAGGGCCTGTCCCATCAGCACCGTGTGCAACAAAGTGGGAGCCCACACAAAACCAAAAACGGGTACAAAGGAGGGAGGGAGCCTGTTCCCTGTTTCTCCTCTGCCTCCAAGGACCTCCATAGCCTCAAAGGGGGAAGAGTCACCAATTAAAATTTATCTCAGATTGCACTTGGCTTAAAATTGTTATGCTTTAGAGGTCGCCTGGTGGCCCGTAAGAAATGAATTCTGCTGTCTCGGGGTCTCAAAGTGAATGGCCATGCCTGTGTGGCAAAGCACAGCCTTGGAGCAGGGATAATCACTCTCTGGAGCAGGGTCTGCCTAAGCTGGGTCAAGGCAGAGTGGCAGGGAACAGTAGGGGCTGAGCACCCTGCAGCTAGCTGCACCCCAAGCAAAGCAGAGTACTTCAGCCTGATATATTCCATTAACATCAATTCTGCTTCTGCAGAGGCTTAAAAAATGTATCAGTAACTTGTGTCAAACCATTTAAAATAACTGAGAGCATTTAAATACGGTTATTCCCACATGCCTCTCTAATCCACAGTGAAATCTTCCTCCCCGGTCTCTGTGTGAAGCAGTAAAAACCCACGTCTGCAGACAAGGTTCAGTGGTCGTGAAGCTATCAGTCTCTGAACTCCTCGGGGATGGGGGATTTAATGTTCAAGTGGGACAGTTCCCTATTTGTCCTGAGATGCAGGAAAAAGAGAGTGCACAGGACCACCCCAGTGGGGCCAGAGAGCAGGTAACAGCACACATCATCCCAAATCCTCACCGGAGTGTCTTTGCAGGGTCTGAATGAGAAGTGTTGCAGAAGGACAACCACAGCCATTTTCATCACGAGGAGAGCAAACCTCATTCCGATGCAGTTCCTGGGGCCGGCCCCAAACGGCAGGAAGATGTAGGGGTCGATGGATTCTTTGTTTTCTTTACTGAACCTGATTACAGAAAAATATGTAAGGTTAGAAAGAGCTTCTGTTCTAGGTGTGTCAGCTCTCAGATCTGAAGATATGAGGGGTCTGGGAAGGCAAAGGCTTTTTGTGTTTCCGTGCATATTAGAAGAAACCAGCTAAGTCCCTTATTTCTGTCTCTCTGTCTCAATAGATGCCTTATGCCTCTGCTTTTATCCTGCTGTTTGGAGTTGGCTGCGCATCTCTGGGTGTGTCAGGTGAACAGGGAAGACCTGAAATATGCTAACAATTTCATAACTACTCTTTTCTCAGAACTCCCTCTAAGCTCAAAAACTGAACCCAGATTTCAAACCCTAAAACACACAGGTCTACAGCTTCACATCTTCCCTTTAGATCAAAGGCCTGAGCGAGCACAAAGACGTTCTCCCCCTGTGTGACTAAAAGGAGGGTTGCTTTTGAGACACACCAGCCATTCCTCTCCTCATCATGAAAAACAGGGAAGAACAATCAGCTTCACAGAGGAATTTTCCACTGAGCATTTTCAGCAATGCTTTTCAGTGATCAGTTAGTTTTCACGTCAGGAAGCTTTTCATTCCCAGCGCATGAGGTCTGGGTATAAACCTTAACCATGTTAAGCCAGCAGTGAAGTATCTCGCTACCAAGACACCAGCACAACCCGATGATGAATTTCCAGTGAGGCAAGTGATCCTTAAAGAGTTCCTGTCTACCCACCCTTCCCTGTTTGTCACCTGGTGTAAGAACCAAGCTGCTGGAGTTACCGAGGTGCAACACACCCCTTGCCAGATGCTCCCACTGGGGTGGTTTCTTCAGCAGCCAGCATGAGGTACATGGCCCACAAGGGTCCATGCTGATTTCAGCAGCACACATCCCCCTCTACCTTATGCCTGATGCCGCCGTCATGCTGTGTCCTGCAGGGGACCACATCCCCACACCAGGATTAGCTTTCAGAGGCATTTGAGCTTGTGGTGCAAGGGCACAGATCTGGGCCTGCTCTCCCTGGGCCAACCCTCAGTGCCTTCTTGGCCACCTGAAGGTGAGCAAGCCCAGGGTCTCCCAGGCTTGCCTCAGGCCTTTGTCTCGTTTCCCAGCAGCTGGCAGAGCCACCAAAGCAAGGATTGTTTCACAACTAGAGTTGAAAAATTAAGTTTTATTTCCTACCTGTCTTTGCCCTTCCACTGCTGATTTGCACGGCAGCATGCCAGTCACCCAATGGCTCTC